TTTTTTAAGTTTTTTAAAAAAAAAAAAAAAAAGGCAAAAAAAATGCAATCAAAAAGTTTTTTTTTTTTTTTTTTTTTTTTTTTTTTTTTTTTTTAAGGGTAGAATAATTCACACAGCTTTAATTCTTCTTACAACCAAGAAAAGTTCTGGAGCAACAAAACAATAGAGGAGACAGAAATTAAGCTTGTTTGCCACAATGACAACAAGCTTAAAGGAGTCACGGTTTGCTTTTAAATGGTTGTTCAAGTGTTATTAGATGCCAAACATGGTGGAAGCAGCATCATGCTGAGGGTCTTTTTATGCAACTAGTTATACTGTTTGTTTTTTTTTTGTTTGTTTTTTTGCCTAAAGTAGATAAAATAGTAAGAAAGGAGGACCACATTCAGATTTTTCTTCCTCGCCCTAAATCAGATATTTGAAACTTGGATACGGCTGAGCGTTACAGCAAGATAATAAAACCAAGCACACATTGCTAATTCGAAGCTTCTGGAAAAGCCCCAGCATCAAACCTGCCGAAACTCTGTCTGCTACAAGTGAGGCCCATGCCAGGAAACAAGCCAATTTAAATGAGCTCTTCCTGTCCTGATGCGAGCGATCAAATCTGCAGCAACAATTATGGCATGAACTTGTTCGTGGCTACGTAGCGGTGTGGTTTCTCTGTGATAAAACTGATGCTTCCTCATAAAAATGTGACTGTTTTCATTTGGCCGGCGTTCTGGTTTTCTTTTTTTTTTTTTTGGTCCGCATGGCTTGTAAAGATCTTGAAATAAAAAAAAAAAAGCAAACAGGTCAGCCTTAAAGAAGCACATGAGTCATCAACCAGAACAACAAGCCAGGATGAAAGAATAAAAAGCTGATGAGGAGATTTAGTCAGCAGATAGGATGAAATGTACGGGATGGGAGGCGTTTCTCTTAGAAAGGGGAAGTGAACGACAATGAAGGAGTTGAGGATGTGTAATCCTAACTGATCCAGTCAGCTTCCCTCTGCAGCCCATTAGACGAAGCGCTTCGATGAGAAGTTATTGCAGAGTCACGAAGCAGATCACAGAGACATGCCCTAATCATGATCAACCATCCTGTTTCCATTCTGGACCAAGAACAAATGTTCAGATGGTGTAAATATGCCTAAATCTCTCACTCTGCAAGGCTTCTCCTTCTCTTAACGCAGAGGTACTGGTTAGTACGTCCATTGTTCATATGCAGTCTTGCCAAGTGATTGATAAGATCAGAGTCATGCTGAGAGCCAGCTGATTGTGTGTTTGAACAGGAAGAAACATTGCTCTGCCTGATCAAGATAAAAGTAATACAAACAGCAAGGCATGTGTGATCTAATGCAAACTCAAACATGTGAATGCAAAAGGAGAACTTTCAGTAACAATTTTAGTTGTTACGGAAATATTTACCAATTTGGCCAGCCTTTCCAGAAAACCCCAACCACCAAGCTGATTTTATTTTTCACATCTGCAAGTACAAGTATTTTGGACTCTACAGCCTGCAATCTACTTCATGACGTCCACTCAATGTGATGGGAAAGTGTTCATTTCAGTCTTTTACTGCATCAGCAGAAGGTTGCTGAGTCTGCTCCCTGCACCCCTCAGTTCACACAACATCAGCCATGATTGATTCTGGTGCTGGAAAAGAATGCCCATTTTGTAAAGACTGAAGGAATATAAATGTAAGATTTTGTGTTTTATTTCATTCAGCAGTTTGTAATCCTGGAGCACCGACTGAACAATGTTATCGCTCTCCGCAGAGAATAAACGAGGCGGACATACTGAATAATAAAAGGTTTCCTGTTCAAAACAAAAGCAGTCCTTTTTACTATTCAGATCAATCACTGTTTAAAAAGGAAATATCATCCCTGCATTGTAAGTAATTTACTGGCAGTCTAAGAGAAAACTGCCAGACCCAACAGTACAGCTGATTCTGTTAATAAAATGTCGTTAAAAGTTACATCTTATAATAAATAAGATATAAATAATACCGAGGTGGAGTTCAGTCAGTGAGGTCACTCACTGACACATTTTAATAACAAGTGAGCCTTATGAAAAGTTCAAGGTTTTACATGCTGGTTGTAGTTAACTCACCTCTGGAGATGATTGACAAGTTGATTGGAGAGCAGAGAGCCTAAAGAAAAAAATAAGTAAAATAAGATTGGTCTGGTAAAATGACCTCAAATGATTTAAAACAGAAACCTAGAACAGATTGTACGGAAAAAGAAAAAAATTATCTGAATAACCCGAAAAGCCTAAAAGGCAAAGACGAAGGTTGCAATAGAAGTATGCTGCGTTCCAGTTGTACTAGAAAATGGGAAATTCCAACTTTCTAGTTGGAAAAAAAAATCAACTGGAACGTCCTCCGAAGTCAGATATTTCATTGGAAAACTGGGAGCAACTCTGACTACACCCAGTTACGATTTGGCGAACTTCTCGTTTCAATATGGCCGCCACTCACGTCAACAGTAGTAAGATGTGGGCAAGACGTATTTAACAAGACACAAAAGATTGTATAGATTGTATAGAGCCTGCATCTCTAAACTGAACAAATTAAAAGTGGTGTTTACTTATGGAAAGTAAAGTTTAAAATAACGTTTGTAAGCGCTATGGCAAACAGGGCGTCGCCATGTTGAAATTTCGACTTCGTAAATACAGTACAACGCTGTTACCTCGAGTATGACGTCAAATCCAGCTCCGAGTTCCCACTTCCCAGCTAACACAGCAGTACTGTAATAGAAGACATGTGTAGAGCTGAATTACTGGTAGGAAGTCCCTCTGATAAGGAAAAGAAGAAAAAAAGGATGAGCGCACTGAATGGGACTTGAATGGAACCATTCATGGTCCCATTCAGAATCCAGGGACATTTTCAATACACCATAATACACTGCTCAAAAAAATAAAGGGAACACTCAAATAATACATCCTAGATCTGAATGAATGAAATATTCTCATTGAATACTTTGTTCTGTACAAAGTTGAATGTGCTGACAACAAAATCACACAAAAATCATCAATGGAAATCAAATTTATTAACCAATGGAGGCCTGGATTTGGAGCCACACACAAAATTAAAGTGAAATGTTCCCTTTATTTTTTTTTTGAGCAGTATACTTACAGAGGTCAAGGTGCTTTATGCTGAAGAGGTATCCTTGAGGTGGATGTTTCAATAAAACACATTGACCCAAACATGCCCACCTGTCAGGTCTTGATTCTGTTTAAAAAGGTAAACTTCACAGAGCGGCCGGCCCAATCCCTTGGTCCTAATCCAACGGAAAACCTGTGAAGTGACGTCAGACCTGCCGTTTCTGGGATAAGGCCAAGAAACGCAGAGGGATGGTGGAATGAATCATCCTGGAGTGGAAGATCTGCTCACAGGTACCAGAAGCTGGTCGTCAATAACTCCCACGGTTCTCTGAAAAAGGTGGTTCTGCAACTAAGTATTAGTTTGGTCCAGAGCATAGCTAGACGTTTAAGCATTTTCAGTTTACACAGTAATCATTAGAGTTTGTAAAGAAAAATGCACAAAATGTTTTTTTTTTATTTTTATACAGCTTTAAATTATTTTTATGATTTATTTTTTGTACTTGTTGCAGAGATAGACATGATTTATTTATTTTTTTTGCTTCTTTTGTGTACATTGTATAAAGGTTACAAGAATTTTAAGAATTTTATTTTCCCCTAAAATTGTATTGCTATATATTGCATCATATTTTTCAATATATTGCTAATAATCTATAAAAAGACATTTGAATGACAAGCATTTTAAGCTTTTCTAAACACAGGGAGTAGCAATGAGTTGCATTTTATATCATAAAATTAATTATACGACAAATTTATTCACAGATCAAACATTTTCAGGTTTCAGTGAAAACTAAATGACCCCCTGGTGAAAAAGTACCTATCAAAAAGGTTTATAAAAACACAATTTATTTTAAATAAATACTCATTCTCTCAATCGGCATGAGCTGAACAAAGGACAAGGCAGTAGTTTGGTCATTTGCCCTTTTAATTTCTTTATTTAATCAATGTTACATTAAAACTAACATAAATAAACTTTTTATGAACAAAAGGCACACAGTTCAAATATAAACAAAAAGGAACACCTGTACAGTTTGTCTTAAAAATAAAAAAAGAAAAAGAAAAAAAGACAACAAACAAAATGTTCTACTGTCTCTGAGCGAGAGAGCGGTCTAAGAGAGAGATGAGCTTCAGCTGATTTGTTGACAAAAAAAAAAGCTACAGCGCAGCCCAACTGCAGAAGCGCGTTGTGCAGGCGTCAAACGATACAACTCTTCAGTCACCCTGCAGACAGGAACCAGAGCGTAGCCGGGAGTGAAGAAAAGACGAGCGACTGGGAGCAGCTTCATGGGGAGTCCTCTTCCAGGAGGTTTACAGTGAGACTCGTCTCCATTGTCTGGATGAATAGGCCGCGAGATCAACGTCCACTAGATCAAGAGGTTCAAACACGCAGCACAGAGTTTAAATAAAACATGTATGGGCAGGAGGCTGGGTGAAAGGAACTATGATTTCTCTACTGAGGCCTCTGATTGGCTGAGTTCTGATTCCTTAACGTTGTAATTTCACTAGCTGGTCATTCACAGTACAGGCAGGATATTAACCGTCTCCGACAGTGTTTGTCCTCTAAACATATTCATGTACACATTAATCCTAAATAATAAAAAGGGACAGAGTTTTTTTTTTTTTTTTTTTTTTTTTTTTTTTCCTTTTTTTGCTCCAAAGCAAGAAAACAAATCAAATCTGCTTTGGCTCAGTGATGAACATCCATGGGATCCTGATTCATTAGGCGTGGTAAGTCCACTCAAGTCTGAACACCAAAAGAAGCTGTCCTTTGCTTATCCAGTTTAGTCCAGTTTAATCTGGCCTAATGCAGTCCAGTTGAGAGACGTGAATCGCCGAACATCTGCAAGCATCTCCTAGTCTGCTTTCACCTGTTTAAAGTACCAGATGGGCAGCGCTGGACCGCAGTACTCCAAAAGAGTTGGTTGGATCATTTGGTTTTAGTTGGTCCTTTTTGAAACTTCATAAAAACCCCAGTCCATCTGTTACCTTAACGGGGCGCGTGCAGACCGCCACTCACAAGCATTTGCAAGCACAGACGCCAAAAGTTCTGATGCAGGACTTATACGGCGACTGTATTGGGTACCTCCTCGTAGTGAATAATAAAGTAAGGGTAGCTCTGGTCGTCGTTAAAAATGACATAAATCTGGGGGTCCACCCAGTTGTCCACACAGGAGTCATAAAGGTCACTGGAGGAGTCCCGAGGGTTGATGGGCGGAGGCCTGCGCATGGAGGAGTTTCCTACGGTGAACCTGAAGAAGCAAAAACACAAAGAAGACGGGGAAAAAATATGAGCAGTGCTACAAGAACCCTGCAGGTGCCACTGAAGGCAAGAAAGTACAAACTTTTAAACATCAAGACTGTTTAAATGTAAATTTACACCGTTTGCTTTTTAAAGCAAAAATATATTCCGAAGCCAGGAAACCTCAGATTCCTGAAACCAGACATAAACACAGCTCTGCTGATGACTTAAAAGCAAATGCAACACTCGGGCACTGCAGTAAACAAAAACATGGATTAGTTCCTTGACAAAAGAGACCTTTTAAAGAAAACCGTGTTGAATGGATCTGCGTCTACAAGGCGAGTTGTTTTTTCTGTTTTCTCCCAAGGATAATTTACCCAGGAAACGGGGGGAGGTTCACGAAAGTAAATACCTTAGAGGAAGGACTTCTTATAAGACCTTTCTTTCTTTGTCGCGTGATTATGAAATTAGAAACTTGGCTTCAAAGAAAGGAACAACTCAAATCTAAGACCAAGTTTTTTACAGAATCTGCAGTCAGACCATTGAGGCAACCATGGGTGTCGTTCTAAGTCTCAGGAAAATTGGTTTTGTAGAACTGTACAATGGATTTTCAGTGGCTGAGTGGATATTTTCGGAGTCACATTTTATAGATACATTACTGTATTTGAGATTATCCCTGCGAAATTCAACAAAAGGAGATTGCGCCCAGAGAAGTGAGTTTTTCAGCTGCTTCCATTCACTTCTACTTTGTTTTAAAGAAGAGGTGCATGGCTCTGTAGGAGAGATTGTATCTTCCGGTCTGAATGCTGCAGAGTTTCAGCTCTTTGACTAACAAATCTTTGTCATTCATGACAAATTACGGGCAGAGTAAATTACATCTCCTGCAAGCTAACGCCTGTCGACATCTATCCCGACTTCGTCCTCCTCACTGGACAAATTGTGAAATGAGTCTACATCTTATGAGCTCATATTTCAGTTAGAGTTTGCCATCACTAGGCTCTTTTTCAGCAGCCATTTAACCATGCATCATATCCAGAGTTCAAATTTCCATATGTATATTCATTGCTTTCCATCTGTCTTGTTCCCACTTCATGCTTTTTTTCTCCCCCATTTCTTGACTTTGCACAGGGAAATGAATGAAGATGAGCTTCAAGCTCAAACATGACTGAAAAGCAAAAGTTGTAAAAGTTTTGATGTATGCTCCAAGTAAATGAATGAAATGAAGCATTGCATCGTAACTCGAGTTCTCATAAAAAAAAAGCCAATTAAAGTAAAAAGACTCTTAGTTACAGACAAAGGCTGAGAGTAGATGTATGAAAGCAAAATCTTTGCCTGTTATGTGGAACAGATTGAACCCAGACTTGGAGAAAGAGCTCGTTTTCCTGCGTGTGCCTGATTGAAGGAAGGGGTGGGTGGTTTCCAAACCGCTGCACAATTCCCTGGACGCGCCATGGACTGTCTGCCTCGGCATAACAAAGGTGGTGATGTATGATGGGCCCAGCCAAATCAGCTGTTTTACATGTGCGCCTGCGGATTTGACTTTTGTTTGAAAGAATGGGAGTAGCACGGCCCTGCTGAAAGATGGTTTATGGAAAAGAACCTCAAGATTTTCCTGATCCAAATTAATGTTGATGCGTTCTGTAAATTTTATCGGCAGGAGTTAAGTGGAGAGGGGAGAGGTAGGATCAAAAAATCCGTTTGGAAAGAAGTACGTCCTGAAGGGAACCGACCTGTCAAACACACCAAACTGTTCACTGAGGACACTAAAACCATGCGAACGCCAATAAACCCCGGATACATCAGGCCTTGATTTAGCATTTAATAAAACTATGATGTGTCCAGTTCCCTTCAAAGCAAAGTCTAGTCGAAAAATATAAACAATGAAATGCCACCAGTGGAATAAAGCGATGCTTTGTGAAAACAGAAGCCGTCTCGGTCAGTGGGATAGACGCGCTCACACACACCTGCCAGTGAGGACCTTGGCCAAGAACATGCAGTGGACTCCCTTGGGCGAGCGCTTGGAGAAGTTGTGGGAGTAGAAGGCCCTGCGAGCGAAGTAGGAGCCCTGGCCGAACATGGTGGCGTGTTTGCCGCAGACGCGCGGGTCGAAGTTGTGCTTGCAGATGCCGTCCACAACGTCGGCCGAGGTGCCGTGGAAGAGGTGGCGCTCGCTCAGCAGCCGGTCCATCTCGGACATGCGGCGTGACATGTACTCCTTCTTCCTGTCAGAGCACACACAGAGGCGGACATTGAGACGGGGTTTGGTCACTAAATGTCATCAGAAACGGTTATTTGTTTCTAATGTGAATGAAACAAGCCATTTGGGACAAATACTACATGAGTGCATCTCGCATGAAAATACGGTCAGAGTTTATTTTAATCATTCATTTAAAAAGTGAAAAGTTTTCATGTGAAATCATTGCACACACACACATCACATTTTATACACGTTTTTGATTTTAATTATGTTCATTTAATTCACCCTTTCTAATGTTAAGAGCAATAAATAATATACTTTAAATTAAAAAAAATCATAAGATCTACTCATGCTTGCTTGTCAGGTGTCTAACAATCATTGGTAGCCTCAATAAGGAGGGTAAGTCATAAAATTTATCAAATCATAGCAATGGAAAGTTGAGTGGAAGGAAAAATTGTTAATAAATAAATAAATAAATAAATAAATAAATAAATAAAGCAGCACCCATAGCAGAGCTCACGGCAGCATTGAGAGGATAGTGAACATAGTTCCATTCCGATGTTTATGGTAGATTCCCATCAAATTAAAAGCAGCTGGAGGCGCAGATCCATCCAGAGTCTGGCCTACAGCTGATGGTTATGAGCTTAAAACACTTCCTGAACCTGAGACAATGGAAGCATCTTAGCTTAATGCCCAGAGTCCTCTCATCAAATAAAAAAGTCCCAGAGTCAGAAGGAGGTGAAGAGGCACAGAATCCAATTTGCTTTAACAATCAGCAATAATTCAGGGAGCGATGTCATCTGCCGGGGCTCTGCGTTTTATCAAGCCCAAATCAGTGCAGCGGTTACCAGGAAACCTTAGAGCACTTCATGCTTCCTTCTACTGATGAGCTTTATGGAAATGCTGATTCCATTTTCCAGCAGGAGCCCACTGCCTAAAGTACCAAGACATGCTTAAATCACTTGATATGAGTGCAAACTAATATGTCCTAAACCCCACAGGGAAACTGTGGACTATCGTCAAGAAGAGTGTGGAGTTGATGTCCACTAATAAAGCAGCCTGGGCTTGACAGCATGTCTTAATATTTGTGAAAGGAATCATGACCCAGGAGGAACATTAATAGATATAAAAATGTTCTCTTGGGCTCGTATGCTTTTGAGAGAAACTGAATTTTGTGTTTTCATTAGTTGAAAGTCATCATAAAAAATTAAGAGAAATGGTATATCACTCTTAGTGGGATGAATATAGATAATTAAAATACAAGATTGGCTGAAGATCTTGTATTCGTTTTACTTTTATTGATTCCTACCCTGAATCTGCAAAAAATTAAACTTTAGAGCTCATCTTTCTTCAACTACCAGCACTGCGTGTACACATCACCTCTGCAATGTAAGCAGATCAATAAGGAACTCAGAGGAGAAAGCGAGGTGAGTCACCGAGGCTGTGTGACCCACACGTGAACTCACACAATGCCACAGCTTGCGACATGACACTGCACGCAGCGCGCTCCTCGCTCGCACGCTCCCGATTTCCTACTACCCCAATTTAGTTTGCAGCACTCCGCTATCGCACGCAGATGAACTCGCGCAAACAAGAAGTTATGGTTTCGCTGCAGCAGGCAGACTGTGGGAAAAGGAAATCGAGAGAGAACCAGTGAGGGGGCATCGCTTTCGGAGGTGGCGAGGCAGACACACACAAACACACACCGGCAGTCATTGTGAAACCGTGCGGTACTGGTCGGTGTGGGAGGGTTCAACTGTCGCAGCTGATAGGAGAAGGCCTGCTACGACCACAGCGGTTAGCCCACTGCCTTCACAACAGGAACATCATCATCACCAAACATCTCCCCATCTGCTGTGTTCACACACCACTGTCGACACATTCTCACGAAGTCCCACACAGCTGGCATCATGTGGCCTATTTCGTCTCGATTCTTCTCTCGTTTAGCTTCAGATATGATTATGACCTGATTTTAAATGTGCATGGAAGGTTTGGAAGGAGTGAAGCTGCCATTTGCGATTTCCAAAAAAAACAAAAAAAAAGAGTGAGCTTCCAGAGGCACATTTTGAGAACGTTTAGCATTTAGGTGGTAGTTGCAGGTTCTACAGAAAACTTGCAAAGACTGGAAAAAGTTTGCAGCATTTCACCTCTGTGGCGGATCTGTTTCTAACTCGAAACTCTCTTTCACCCGACACCTAAAATAAATTCACCTGTGAAATTTAACACCAGTATAATCTGAGATGTCCTGTGAAGGGGTATGCTAGAGGACATTGGCTACGTCTTTAAATGTGGTCAAATTTCTCAACTGTGACAAGTTTATAAAGTTTTATACCTCTTAGTTTCACACAGGAACTGATGATGAGTTCAGGTAAACAACGGAAAAACCAGTTGCGTGCCAAAACCTTTCGCCACAGCTTTAAGAAATGTCTTGCGTGCAAACATGCCAGCAGCCAACTTTCTCACCTCGACACACAAAAATGATCATCTGCTTAATTCAACAACTCCTCACCTCTTATACTTCTCCCAGAGGAAGGGGTTCTGGACGCGCTGGATCTTGATGATCCTGAACTTGGTTTCTGATACTGTCTTGTGAAACAGGCTGTACACCGTCCTGTAGCTGCGGTCTTCACGCGACACGGGCACCCGCAGGAAGTCCTGGCTCATCGGCATGGGCAGCCATGTCTCTGGAAAAAGGCTAGGAGGGTTGGTCGATGTCGGCGAGAGGGGATGCGGCGAGGAGACGTCCATCGGGGTCGGTGCAGGTGCGGACGTGGAGGGGAGAGCGGGTAGAGAGAGACCACCCAAAGTCCTGAAGAGGAAAAAGAACATTAGGTCTTTTAGACTAGAGAAAATAAGCTTTATTTAGAAACCACAAAGTGTCTCTGTTAGCCCTGATAGTTGCAGAGTAGGCTGTGAGCTGCAGAATAAATAACTGAGAAATTAGTTTGTTGTTTATTAAAAATGAAGAAGAGGACATGAGGAAAAAAAAGCACTAAAACTGAATGTACTAACCAAGAGTACCTCCACTGAATTGGACCACTCTAATCCAAATTTTGCACTTCCTCCAGCACAATCCTGAGGTTCTGGGTTTCTTTTCTAAATACCTTCTTTGTTATCAACTTCAACCCAAATTACAGTAAGAAACTAGAAACTTACTGCACATAGCACTCAAGTCTCTATCACGTCTTCTATGTTTATTGCAAATCTCCATTTTGTTAAGACTTTTCACAACATCTTGTTGCTGCTTTAAGTAACAGAACGAAACATTTCTAAGACACTGATTTACTTGGTGTAAACAACATGGCAACAAGTAAAGAAATAACAGTTTTCATGTGACAAACCTCGTGTGACGAATCACATAAAATCCCAATAAAGTAAAGTCGGAGGCAATATAGTTTGTGGTTGTAATCTGCAGCAGCATTTTACTGTAACCTAGTTAGCTAGAGCTGTATGTAACCTAGTTCTTATTATAGAGAATTGAGCCTGTGAGCAGACAAAACCGCTTTTTAAAACGTATTAAAGTTTCTTTTTCTCGGTTATCCAGGAACATCACTCGCAAATCTCTGTAAATTTTCCAGCAGAGAATCAACACGCAAACCAACAGAGGCCGGATCAGGAATGATTACTCTCTGCTCCGTTTTGCTGCACCTTATTAAAAGCCCTTCTGCTGCATTCTGGAGCTGCTTCATTAAACGCAGAATTAGGTGCCTGATATATAATCCGGCGACCACAGCTCCCAGTCTGAGCTAAGATGAAAGTCAAAGCAGAACTGGGTCTTCCACCTATCAACGCTCACATTTTAGCCCCACAGGAGGAACTGCTCCAGACTGTCTGCACCAGAAGAAGAAGCAGTTTGTAGTCATTAGTAAAAGCCTAAAGCCAAGCTGACGCTCGCTGCTACGTCTGCACGCAAACGCCCATCTGCAAGCTTTATGCCCACGCTTTTCCACAGCGACGGCTCCCGTTTGTTTCCAATCATAAGCGTTTCCAAAAGCCTCCATCTGCTGCACGTTCGGAATGGCATCCCCTCCGACTGCCAGCCGTGACAGATCCGAACTGCAGGGCGGCGCCGCTGCACGTCAACCGTCAGACAACACAACAGGATGGTGCGAAAATGAAACCCAGACACCAAACAGGAGAAGATGAGAACAAGGAGGACTGGGGGGGGGAGTGGGGGGGCTAAAAGAACGATAGAAAAGAAAGAAAATGCCAATTGTGGAGCTGTCATCGCTGTGACAGAAAAAGAAAAAGTCCTCCACCACGTCTGGCATTTGAGTCAGTAACAGTAGTTTTCCTGTCAAGTTATCACCCTCTAAGTGTAAATGCTGTTAGCTCTATCATCCATACGAAAGTGTGTGTGTGTGTGTGTTATGAAGAGGCTCTGAGGTAGTGTGACAGTTATTCTCGTCTCTTTTCTTCCACTCTCTCTTATCTTGTCGGTCTGGTCTAAGAGACACCCACCACCTCCCTCATTCCCTGCGCTGCAATCGAAGTCTCTATTCCCTCGGCGCTTTGAGGAGATCACAGACAGGCTGCTGCAGAAAACAAGTGCGAAATGAAAAGGGACAGATGCCGAAAGAATGATGGAGGCAGGCAAGAATGAGAGCTAGGAGGGAGGAGGGGGAGGAGGAGTGATTAGGAAAGAACAGGACGGGAAAGAAGGAAGAGCGTTCTAGGCTTAGGTCACTTAAAAGGATGATAAACTGGCTAAGATTTATCCAACTTGATAAGTGATAATTCCCTTACTGGGAACCTTAGGGGATTTCTTTCACCATCAAAACTTTAAGAGCAGCCCTTAGTAATTTTGTAGTGTCTCTAGTTTCTTCTTTCATGTCACTATATGAATTTCTATTGCGGTTTAGGATAGGCATGCTAAAGGAAATGCTCTAAAGTTTTCTCGTGGACAGCTGCTTTGACAGAACACAACGAACCAACACCGGCAGATGACTTGGCTTCACAAATCCCCTGACTGTGGATTCTGGGCTTCTCCCCTTCTCCTGCAGACCCAACACCTTCTGCATGCACCATAAACCACAAGGAAGTGGCCTCGCCTTTCCTCTCCTGAAGCCACGTAAAATGCATGTCTCTGGTTCGGCTGATGGGACTCAACAGTGTGCATTTATTTACCAACTTTTTTCTTCCGCTCAACTTTCCATTTATTGAGTTGCGTCACTGAAACCGCCGGCTTTATTACAAAATACATTTTTACTTTTACACATTTTAATCAGCAGACCTCTACTTAACCTCTCTGTGTTGTAAATTCAGGTTTCTTCTTATGAGATATTCTAATATTCTGACAAATTGAACTTTTCATAATCAGTCAAATGAACAGAAGTCGTCCAATGAAAGTTGCTCTTGTTTTTAGCTCATTTTTATTTTACTAGCTTATTTAATGTAGACCAATTTCTTAATTATTTGTATTGTTGGTGTGTTTGTAAACCTTTTTGTTTGTTTGTTTCATCAAAAACAGGTCTGCGTTGTAAATGTAATAAAAATAAATTAACTGAGATGCATGCGACTGAGTGCAGCTACTGCAATTTATTGATGGACAAACGCAACCAACAGTTGAGCCATGGATCTGGGCTCCAGCTCCCTGCAGTGACGCTTCTCACCCTCATCACCGCGACTCTCCGGAGCTCCGAGTCTGGAACCCATTTAGATCCTCTCCGGCTGCACTCCCTTTCACCCTCGCTGCCTGTGTGTCTCTTTTCTTCTTCTCTCTGTCTGGTTCTTGCCTTCACTATCTGTTTTTTTTTTTTTCCCCTTTCTTTTCTCCGGTTCTCTCTTGACTGTTGTGGCCCGGTGGGCACAGCTTGTTCTAGGAAACCTGCTCTGCACCAGAAGTATCTGCAAATGGGCTGAAATGGCTCCACTTGTTTCTAATCAGGTATCACTTGTTTCCAAAGTAAGACGGAGGAGAGTGCTGCAGGCACATCTCTTCGCCGGTATAAAGACGGGAAAGCGGGGCTTGAGAAAATGAGTGTGAGAACAAATTTAATCCCGTCAGGAGGGGCGGGAGATGGGGGTCGGGGGGTTCACAACACTGGGAGCATTAATTTCTTTGTCTCCATGATCCTCCCTCTTCTTCTCATCTGTTTTCATTTGCTTCATTATCTCATTTCACATCTCGTCTGCTCCAGGCGTGCTTTCCCCTGCACAGGACAGCTCCTGTGTCCTGGTGACAACATTTGACTTGCCAAAAATCTGAGCCTGGGCTAAGTGTTGGTTCAGCTCCGGCTGCCGAAGCGTTCTGAAGCGGATCAAAACTGGACGTGGTGTTCAGAGCCTTTTGAGCATTCAGCCCTGACTGTGACATTGGCATTGTGTACCGGCCTGTGTGTGCCTGCACGTCCCTAAACACAGAGCTAGGACGCCCGGGGAACACGGAGAGCCATGAGGAGACAGATTGTTACACGGTAGAAAGCCAGCAGTGAGAATTACACAGAAGTACTGCCAGGAACCGCGTTTTTTTTTTTTCTCCCCCCTTTCTAAAACCTCAAGAGTTCGATGCTCTCTGACAACACCGAGTAGAAAGAGATAAATTAGTAGTATTATGCTGATGTGCCGGAGAGTACAATGGAAAGCAGAAGTGAGAACAAAACAGCAGGCAAGAAAAAAAAAAAAATCAATAAAGTGATTAAGCTTCACCTCTCTGCTAAGGACTGGCCACTTTCCCTTATTATTTATGAGGTTTCATAACTTCAAATCTGTGTGAAAGCTGCTTTTTTCTGCTCTTTTCTGAGTCAAGCAACAGACGAACATGTGAGGCTGAGATCAATAAAACACTGTTTCCTATATTGATCTTGTATGAAACTTAAAGCTTATAGCACAAATATCATATTTATCAAAGCCATCAACAACATTACAGATGAGCTTCAAAATCACAGCATCACTGTTCCCACCTCAAATTAAAAAAAAATTCATTTCTACATTTACTGAGACTCAAATATGCAGTATGATAGTGGTAGGAGTGAAGGGTAAAAAAAGACTTGCATTTTGACATTAAATGACATATTTGTTTGGCAGAACTTTAGTAATAAAGTATAGAGAGAGAATTTATTTTTCCCCCAGCAAAATATTTCTAGAAATTAACAAGGACTGCAGCTAAAAAAGCAATCAGATTGGTTTTCGACAACCAGATAGATATATTGGTGCCATTTCCGATGCAATAATGATAATATGAATCATATCATTTCTCTCCATCCCTGAAAACAAATGCACCAGCATCACCAGCCTAACTAATGCCTTTTCTTTAAAACTACTGTACATAGGGGTCACAACCAAACCAGTTTGGTGGAAGCACCCTCAGACAGGGAAATGCGAACGCTGACAGACAGACTGCAACGTTTCTGATTGAGGCTGATCTCGACTTCCAGACCTAAACAGGAGTAACTGGATCAGAGTGAACAGTGATATTTACTGGAGGTGTGGCGTGAGGATCACAGACGACATGAACATGGGTCGCTTCTTGATCTGCCGTCTGAAGCCGAAGACGGCATTCTGCTGGAAGCCCTCCTTGATGTTGAGAATATACTGGTTCTGTAGCGTGATGAATCGGACCTCCTTAAGGCCCCTCGAACTTGCCTCTTCGATGAGCTTCACCACCGGCTGCAGGGGAGGAGAAAACCAGAAAGAGGACATGAAGAAGTGAGACTGAGTCACTGTCCAGCTAGTCAAGCAAAGCCAGCAGGGATTAAGGTGGATTGTTTTTAAATAAAACCAAACTCAAACACGGATAATGAGTAATTCTCATCTCCTTTCCCTGCTTCGTCTGGGATTTCTCCCATTGAACTCGATTTCTCCAGTAGTATTTCAACCAGGCGAACAGAAGGAGGACTTGGGAACAAATATTTTTTTCATGCCGTTTTAAACTTGTAGTCTGTCATGGTTCAACATCGGCAGCGGAAGAAGTTCAGTTCTTCAGCGGAAGAACTGAACTGAAGCCGTTCAGTTCATGTTGGCCACATTTTGAAATATTGAGCAATTACAGTTTAAGCAAGAGTAATGTCTTCTTGCTTAAACTGAAGCAAGAGGAATGTCTTGCTTAAACTGTAAAATGGACTTGTTTGAGGTTTACATGGCATGTCATAATGTTATTCCCTTAAGTGTTGCCTTGTTTCAGGAATCCCTGAATCTCCCATGGCAACCATTTGCAGGTGCCTTAACACCTGCTCTCACAAAGCACCGCCTTCTCCTCGCAGCTCCTCCCTGGAGATGCAGTCTCACAGACCACCTCTCCCCTGCGACTCCCCCACTCAGCTCCTCCAGACTAGCAGCAGCAGGAGTTAGCAAAAACTTTGGTTGGACTATGTGTCTGCTGAGTTTATCATATGAACAACTTCTTCTCTAAGAGCGATTGTAAACGCCATAATGAGGATCATTGTTGAGACAGAGGCTAGTTTCAAGGCGTCAAATTTCAACATCAGATTTCTTTAAGTCATGTTTGATATATAAAGCATTTTTACAACAACTGAAGGTAACAGGTATTTGATTGCACTATAAAATGCCAACACGTACCTGGGAAACGCACAATATTGCATATTTAAGACATTTTATTGCTGGCAAAGTTGCTGTGGTTCAACACAATTTACTGTAAGCGTCACTGAGCTGTTGCATTAAATACGTCACGGCCAAACATTAGCGATTGGGCATAATTGTTTAAAATTAACGCCTCCAGCAAGCAATCGTTTCTCAATATCAGAGGGTCCAGATCCTCTGTATGAAGCAAACTGTGAAACAAAGAGCTGGTTTTTCGCCAGGCTCCTGTTTCACATACCTAGTCATCAGGAGTGCTTGTTTGCGTGTTTCTAACTTGATCGAATCACAGCAGCTAGTCGATTGATTAGTGCGAGCAAAGTTAATGTGTCTGGCCTCGTGTTCACAGGGCGTGAAATAAAGCAAACGCAGAGTGAGGCAGAGAGCGGCTCACCTCAGAGTATTCCCTCCAACCAATGTTGTCCCTGCAGTAGTACTTCCACACTGTGTGACAGCTCGGGGTGGAGTTAGGGTTCGCTGCAGGAACGGGAAGAGGGCAGGGGGGAGTGGTCAGCCGGCGGACGCAGTCGAACTCCAGGTCACACACTCGCATCGTCGCAAACTCCAGCAGAAACACCCGGCCCCTGAAAAAAAAAAAAACCCACATATTCCAGTTAAAAATGAATCAGCAACTTCCAGGGGTTCAGCGGTCTTTGTAGGAAAGAAAAACACCAAAACCCGGCCAATCATTCTCAAAGCTGCAGCTCGGTGACCTTGCAGTTAAGTGGTCCTGATTTATATTTATATCAGCTGCCATGTGATCAAACATGTGGCCGCTAATGCAAGCCATGTGCCCCGGAGAGAGGCGACCAAACCTTCGGTTGCTCAAATACAGTGAGTCACACAGGGTGACAGCAGTGTGTGAGAAGTGAACAGCAGGACATTTCCCTGAAAACACACACACACGCACAAATGACTCCATGATGAGTGAAATAAAATGTCAATGCCTGCTAGGAGAGTCACTGTGATGTTTATATTTATACCTTTATATTTAACATTTTGTCATTAAACACCAACAAGCCAAAAAGTTTCACTTTGCTGTAATTTGACTAAGAGCACTGCTGGGTTCCTGGATGCTAATGACGTTCACTGATGGACCAGACCTATGAGGCCTTCGCAGAGCAGCTGTGATCACACTGAGATTAAGTTACGCACCGCATTTATTAATTATGTGCCTTCTCTAAGCAACAGGCACACCAATTAAAGGAGGGAGAACACACTTGCACGACACAGTTGTCAGCTTTTTACTCACATACTTCAACTTCCCCATTTAGGCATTACTTACTTTCTCCGTCGCATGCGATCCCAATAAAATGCACTGAAGTTTGTGGTTTTGACATAACGACCGAAAATTAAGTATTAACCACTGAACTCAGTGGAGACTCATCTACCCAAACAGCAGGAGGCAACAATTAATCTTGCAATCATGCATAGTCATAGTCGATAAATTAGAACATGTGTTCAAATGAGGCCCATTTGTCAGATCAGTACCTTTTGTAAGTAACCTTTAAGCAAGAATTAAACATACGTTTCATTAAACCCACATTTCTGTTTTATTAAAAAAAAAATTTGATTGATCTGATGTCATTTTAAATACGTTTTCAATGCCTGCAAGTGGGAAATTATAATTAACAGAAATAAATGTTTTAAAAAGCCCTTCTACATGTTTCACTTAATGACGAAGTTCCTGAAATAAATTTTCAGTCTTTTCAGTAATATTCTAATTTATTAAATGAGTTTGTACTCCTTTGACCCCCTCACTGTCTCGGCATGTGAGGGTTAGAAATCCCACACAAAAAACAAAATAAAATATAAAAATAATTGTATTCAGAGTAAGCTAAGGACCTCATTAGCATTCACCCCACTCATCCACCAGCGTTTAGTGGATGCATTGAGTGATGTCAGCTGTTTTCTCCGTTCCTCGGTCAGGTTTAAAGGCGGTTAATACTTACGCAGTCATTTACTTCACCTAATAAGATTTTAGTTAACTGAATTACGTTTGTTAAAACACAAGTTGTTCTTCCAAATTATTTTTTTAAATGTCAAATTATACTGATCTTTATTTTTTTTCTTACAAAAGCGCTAAAAGGATAGAGCCTTCAAAGAGGTTAAATCCTTTTTATGTTCACCGTATGTTACATACAGAGTCGGGAACAGAGAGCAAATAATGATTCGACACAGCAGACTGACTGCCCTCAGCTGACATTTTGCAAGACAAAAAGTGGGACGAATGCCAGGCGGTAGGTAGTCAGTCTGAGATGTTTTCCATGTGCATCACCTGAGGAGGAGCGTGCAAACCTGTTTGCTAATGCAGCGCCCGCAGCAGTGAAACCTCGGGTTATTATAGGTAGGCAGTAAACACAAATTAAGTTCTCCTTCCTGTAAGTGTAATTACTGGTCACTGAGGTTGCAGGGACCCAGACAATGCTTTCTGTCACAACGAAACAGCCTGAATCATTTTCCAAAACCCTACGATCACACTGGTTCATAAATAGCAGCTGGACGTGCTGTTATCATAGGCTGAATTTCTGCTAAGTCATAAGGCGACTGCGTCTCCATAAGAGGAAGTGAAACAGCAGGCTGCTTAATGAGCACGTGCAGAAGCAAAACAGTGACTGAAAACCAAGACACAGACCATCATATCTGCACTACCAGAAAATAAGAGAGAATGCAGATGAATGATTTTCTGTTCTGTATATGAAAGCTGTTTTCAGCGTTCAACAAGCTAGAGGGCGTTTCAGTTTCATGGGAAAAACAAACACAGCAGTTCATTTGAATACTGAATGCAGAACCAAAAGAGAGAAGCAGAAAAAACAGGATTATGGCAACGGGTGCAGCAAGAAAAGTACTGGCAGATAAAAGTGAGGTGGGCAAGAAGCTGCGAGTGCGACTGTGGCACTGAGAAGTTGGTGGGGGGGTGAGAGGGGGGGGCTAGTACATCTTCTGCTTTGCCTCGGGTCAGCTCCTTCTCTCCCACTTGTTTTGTTTTCGTAATTATTTCTCGTTTCGTTCTGCTCTGTCTACTCCTCACAATGTCCCCCCCCCCCCCCCCCCACCTTTTGTTCTTTTTTTTTTCTTCCTCCACCCCTCCCCCCCCCCCGTCCCAAACC